TGTATGGGTGTGTGCAGATGCTATTTTATTGGTGTACATTTATTTATGTAAATGAATATTCATTTCATATGACAAAGCAAATAAAGTTGTAAGGTTAAAAAATTTACTGTTTTTGCAAAACACACTGTAATACCAAACGTCCTAAATATAAAAATAACATTAGTCTAATGTACATAAATAGCAAATTGTGGTATTTGATAAAATTAATTTATATTTTGTAATGGTTGTCAAAAACAAACTCACTATTAATCTTTAAGTTAAACCAAATCAGTTTTTTTTTATACGTTTCAAGAATTTTACTAAATTCAAATTCGCTTTCTTCGACAGACGTTAGTATAGAATAATCTACTTTATAGGCAACAGTATTAATTTTAATTTCAGTGTAATAATCTATTGTTCAATTTTTGTCGACTATCTTACACTTAAGAATCAAACAAATTTTGTACAATTGTCAAATTCTAAAGTATAAAAGTCTTTTGCACACTTGAGCATTTGTTTTGTAGCTATTGTAACTAAAAAAATTTTCTTGTTACTATTTGATTGAGTAGCAATCTTCGCAAAAATGCATACCACTGTATGATAATAAAGGTCTTTTTTTCAACAGTATTGACAGATAGTGCGTTAGGAAATGAAATTTTGGCTTCAGATAATCGTACATATTTACATACATTTCATTATGTTTTTTTATGTACTGAGTAAGAAGTTCTGCGTCAGAGCAAAAAAAATATGGTGCAGTTGTGATGTCTATTATTTTACATAAGTAATAATACATCAGCCAGTGTTCATCATCTTGTGGTATCAAATCACCGAGCATTACTCGAAAAATACGCACTAATCAGAGTATTTCGGCTGCCGACATTTTTAAATTCAATTTTCTTTTGGTCTTCGATGAGTTGTTTTGGTTTTTTTCGTTTTGGTGCGAATAGACACTACGAATAATGATACCGATTTGACTTTAAAACTTGGATTAAAAAGGTATATATACTTACGTATAAATAATTCAAGCAGTCCTGGGAAATCTGACTAAATGAACCGTTCCATTCTTAATATATCTGAAAATGAACATACAAATACTGCAGAATATACGTTGTAAGAATAATTACATACCAGTGTTGATTTTCAAAAACCTTTTAGCTTAGTGAGAAGTAATGAAAGTTATACGAAACAGTACATTACGCCTCTAGAGACCAAAGTAGAATTATAAACGCTCGAAAAGTACAGTTGTTGTACCTTTATGCCCGATTTGCATAATTGTACATAAAATGAGAGCGTACACAAGCACTGGAACTGAAACTTCTAGTAACTGTAAATATTGTGAAGCAATTATATACCATTTAGTACTACGTACATTGTTTTTATAATGATATTGTGAGATCACAATAAGTTCATAAAATACAATGTGCGGATAAAGATTGATGTATCCTTTTATGATAGCTTTGATGCTGTAAAAATATTATTTCAAAGAAATAATATACGTGCATGACTTTTATGTAAAACAATTCAAGTTACTGAGCATTTACACTACTAAAAGATTTTGCAATATTTACTAATCTTATATTATGCTTTGGCTTGATAACAGCAACTAAAACAGCCAGTGTAGATAAACTTGGAGTACCAGGAAAGTATATTGTTTCTCTTTTTATCATTCTTATACTTAATACGTTTTTTTACTGAGAAACAATACACCTAAAAAAACAGCACTTTATCGCTCAGATTACATTCTCCTTAACGTATAGTACATATTATACATGTACATGCTATAGTGGTTGAGTAGTTACTATCGCGCGAAAAATACGTATCATAACCGTCCCTGAGATGGTAAAGTTAGTCACCCATCATACTGGTAATGCTGCTGTCACACTTTTGGGATCGCAGCTTTGCCAAATAGAAGAGCAGTGTTCTCAAATGACGCTGCAGTAGTGCTAAGGTTCTCTTAGTCTAGCTGATAAGTAAATGTACCCAGCGCAGCGTGGGTCTGCATGTGTCTCTTCTGCTCCACGTAATTTTTGAAGCCTTAAGAGCACCCCGCTTAAGCCTTTTTTCTAGCCTTATCTAGTGCTTTTCTTAACGTCTTGCTGTGTTCACTGTCGGCTTCGTGCTTGTTTTCTGCCGTTGGGCAATGGAAACACCTTGCTGGGCTAAGGCACTTTTTTTTCAGTGATTCGAGCTTCCGCATCGAAAGCATAGCCTTGACTCATCGATCTCCTCACAGTCTTCTTAGACATGTCTGTATCTCAGGCATGTGTAATATCTTGTTACCACTAATCTTCTTCGTATTCAGTAGCTTCCAAATCCAACTTTTAGTCTGTCTACATTTTCTGCGTGTCTTGCTA